GACCTACTGCTTGGTATAGGATATATGTCCATTGCATGCATTTACATTCTAACTATACCTCTGGTGCTAAATTTTTAAAGCAATTTTTGAAAGGTCCAACCACATACATCCTTCTATCTATCTATCTATCTATCTCTCTATCTATCTATCTATCTCTCTATCTATCTATCTATCTCTCTATCTATCTATCTATCTCTCTATCTATCTATCTATCTCTCTATCTATCTATCTATCTCTCTATCTATCTATCTATCTCTCTATCTATCTATCTATCTCTCTATCTATCTATCTATCTCTCTATCTATCTATCTATCTCTCTATCTATCTATCTATCTCTCTATCTATCTATCTATCTCTCTATCTATCTATCTATCTCTCTATCTATCTATCTATCTCTCTATCTATCTATCTATCTCTCTATCTATCTATCTATCTGTCTATCTGTCTATCTGCCTGCCTGCCTGCCTGCCTGTCTATTATACAGTGGTGCCTTGGAAAGCGATGATAATTCGTTCCGGATTAATCGTCGCTATCCGGAATCGTCGCTAAACAGAACTAAAAAACCCATAGGAATGCATTAAACTTCATTAATGCATTCCTATGGGCCCCAAACTCACCGCTATGCGGAGATCCTCCATTGCACCGCCATTTTCGCAGGGCGCAAAAACACTTGCGGCGGCCATTTTGGGCACCCGGCAGCCATTTTGGAACCACCGATCAGCTGTTTAAAAAAATCGCAATGTGAAGATCGGTAAGTGAAACACTTACCGATCATCACAATGCGATGTTTTACCATTAAAAACATCGCAATGCGATCGCATTAGCGATCCCAAAAAATAGATCGCTATGCGGATTCATCGTTAAACGGTGCACTTGTTAAGCGAGGCACCACTGTATTTCTATCCTGCCCATCTAGACCAAGGGTCTACTATTCACACTAATCTTCTAAATTAACAACAACAACAACAACAACAACAACAACAACAACAGCAGCAGCAGCAGCAGCAGCAGCAGCAGCAACAGCAGCAACAGCAACAACAACAACATGATGTTAGTTCGATTCTGCCTTATAGTGACTCTCTCTAAGATATTCTAGGTTTAGGACATTCAGAAGTGATTTACACTTCCCTTCTTCTGTGAGCTCTGTGGGATAATGTAGACGGCCCAAAACCACACAGGCTTGCTCTTCTGCAAGGCACATTGGGGAAATGAACTTTCAACTCCTGCCCAACTCACTGATCTATCCAGCCAGCTGGCTAAGCAGTTTCCCTACATTCTCCCACATTTGCTCAAATTAAACTAATCTGAACTTTTAAGGTGAGGAGGGAACATGTAGAAATGGATGAAGGGTAGTGACAGGTATGACCCAAAGAGCCTAAGCAAACTAGAGCACTATGTGGAGATGCCAACCAAGGAGAACACTTATGGGCTGAAAATTAACCTAGCCAAGTATCTATTTAAAACTGACTTTTTGCAAAGCATGATGACCACCCAGATCTTCCTGATAGTGCTGATCAGTCTACTCCATACAGATGTCATACTCTGCAAGTACATAACTGATCAGGTGTATCAAGAAGAAAGACCAATTCAACAACTCTTATACTTGGGCAAGCTGCTGGAGACCCACCACTTCCAAGTGTGATTGCAAGGTCATCTAGATTATCCTCTGAGCTTGATGAATAAGAAGGGAATAAGCTGTCCACGACATCACAGCGTTGTATTAATTTGCAAGTGGTTACATTTCAGCCAAACAGGAAAAGTGGTCTATAGCACTGACATAAAAGATCTACACAAAGGAATAATATTTCCAAACATCAACAAGCAGAAATCCAACAACTATAGGAGTGTTACTGTAATCCTAAATGCTGAAGCACTGCTGGCCTTTTAGATAGGCAATATCCCCCTAAATGCAAGGTCCAAAGCTGCTCATAGGAAATTGACTGGTTGCCAAAATTTAATTCTATCAAGGAAATCTCCACACCAGATCTGGACAAATCCTAAACTTCAAACCAAATCAGTCTGGTTTAGACTGATGTGTGTGAGGTCCAGCTTGCAGCAGAGTAGCCAGACTCAGTTCTGAGGTAAAGCAATGTGAACTAAATAGGATCCAAAGGATTAGTGGAATTGGAGGGGCACAAAATACCTTTGCTTATCTAAGTGTTTTTAAAGCAGAGGTTAATCTCTTGTAACTAAAATTTGGCAGCTTTACTCTTCACTTCAGCCTCTAGAATGCCTTCAAAATTAACATTAATTGGTGCAAAAATGTTTAAAAGTTATAGACATTTTTGTTTTCCAAAGCAGGTTAATGAATTTACAACTTTACCATTCAATTCAATTTCAGGGTGCAAATTAAATCAAAAGTACAAATCATTTCAGGCTAAATTGGTGCACATCCTAAAGTCCTAACATCGTTTAGTCATGTCCAACTCTTCGTGACCCCATGGACCAGAGCACGCCAGGCCCTCCTATCTTCCACTGCCTCCCGGAGTTGTGTCAAATTCATGTTGGTTGCTTCGCAGACACTGTCCAGCCATCTCATCCTCAGTCGTCCCCTTCTCCTCATGCCATCACACTTTCCTAACATCAAGGTCTTTTCCAAGGAGTCTTTTCTTCTCATGAGATGGCCAAAGTACTGGAGCCTCAGCTTCAGGATCTGTCCTTCCAGTGAGCACTCAGGGTTGATTTCCTTTAGAATTGATAGGTTTGTTCTCCTTGCAGTCCAGGGGATTCTCAAGAGCCTCCTCCAGCACCACAATTCAAAGGCATCAATTCTTCGGCGGTCTGCTTTCTTTATGGTCCAGCTCTCACTTCCATACATCACGACAGAAAAAACCATAGCTTTGACTATTTGGACTTTTGTTGGCAAGGTGATGTCTCTGCTTTTCAAGATGCTGTCAAGATTTGTCATCACTTTCCTCCCAAGAAGCAGGCGTCTTTTAATTTCGTGGCTGCTGTCTCCATCTGCAGTGATCATGGAGCCCAGGAAAATAAAATCTGTCACTGCCTCCATGTCTTCCCCTTCTATTTCCCAGGAGGTGATGGGATCAGTGGCCATGATCTTAGTTTTTTTGATGTTGAGTTTCAGACCGTTTTTTGCACTCTCCTCTTTCACTCTCATTACAAGGTTCTTTAATTCCTCCTCACT